TGGAATAGATTACTCAACTTTAAAATCACCATCTTCTGTGACTCTCATGAGATTGACATAATTATAATGCTTATTTACAAGCAATTATTTTGACTGAAAATATTGCATTGGAAACAACCCGCCGAATTCGTTTCCTTCATTCACAACAATATCCTTTGTTTAAGCAAACTATTAATTTATTCTATTCGTTTCGAAGACATGCATCAATTAGCCTAATAAAGGCTAAAATATGAAAAGATAATCATTAATATAGCAAATTCTGTACCCTTCACAGTCAACAGTAATCCTTTGTATTATCATCCACTTTTTACTTTCTTTTGAATGCTCAATCACAAAGATTACTTTATTTGATCCACAAGTAATAACTTTATTTTCTTAAACATTTAAGCTTAGAGAGCGAACACAAGTGTTGTTTTCTTCAATTGTTTATTCTAAAATCCACTAACTTTTCTAAATCCAAAATTTAAGAGTCTAATCGCCACCGCTCGATATCATTAGATCCTAATTCTTATTGAGAACTAAGCTTTGAAGCCACATGATATGACCTCGAATTTTTTATTTGCAATTCCATATGCAAGTATTTAAATTTTGCCAGACAAAAATAAATCCACCGTTATCACCAGAGATCAACTCTTTTGATTTTGTAAGGAATCTTAAATACAACACAGAATGAGTATGTTCATCTAATGCTTGAATTTATTGTTTCAACCTTCCTTATTTAAATTCGTATATTAATATTTTTGGATTTTCACATCCAACAAATAAGATTGAAGAATCATCGTTAAATTCAAAGGCATAGCATTATTCAACTTTATTGATAAAATTATCTTAATGTATTTAATAATTGAATGGCTAATGTATTATTTAGGTTTGATTGGTGTTGTTTTTGCAATTTATTTCTGAGCATGGTTATGTTTTTCTTTATATGTCATCAGAACCTAATTCCTATTAAATAAATATCAATTCTTTTATTTTAGAATTACACAAATCTTTCATCTACTAAAGAAGGTTTTAGCAAAAGGTTTATTTTTGAATTAGACAAAATTATTCAAGCTTTGGTAATCTTATCTCCTATTTAGTAAAATCAAACTTATATATAGGGGAATCCATTTCAAACATTTAATCGATAAAATTATTTATCTTATCAAAAGATGACTAAAATTAGAGCAATGCTGAGAAATAAATACATCTACGTTCTTCTCGATTTCATGCATACAATCTTCTAGCCTTAAATAGATGAAATTATTTTTTAACATTTATGATCTATTTCTATTAAGTTATTGAATCAAAATTATTAATCAAGTTAAAATAATCGTAAATAAGAAATTAAAAGGCAGAAATAAAAAAATGTATTCAGAACCATTGTTTATAAGCGTAAAATTTTCCAATCCCCAAATACTAAATTCAACATTTTGATTGAAGCCTTTTATTAGTTGTTTAAATTTGATGAAGAAACAAGTAATTTGCTATTTGAAATATGACAATTATATTAATGAGGATTACTGTTATGAATTGCTAGTTAATCATTGAGGAATTTCAAATCAGAAAAAGTATAAAGAATTTATTACAAATCTTAGCTTCCTAAACATTTAATCTAATAAAAGAAGATTTATCAAAGAGATAATTAAAATAAAACATAAAAAATAAATGATACTTAATGAATCATCTCTCCCTGTACCTCTGATCAATTATAGTAATCAAATTATTACCATAGATATTATGAATTTTCAAATAACAATAATTAATCAAAATTATGCTAAATCTTTATAGTTTAAATGGTAAAAATATGGGTGTTTTTCAAATATTGATCAAATAGATAAACTCCCCATCATTTTTTTACACATTTTTCAATTTTGACAATTGTATTCAATATTGCTTTATCAATTAATAATTAATAATAAATAGACCAATAGATTAGCTAAGTTACTAAGAAAATGAGAAAATTTTTAAAAATTTGTAATTGTTAGATAATTAACATCTAATGCAAAACTCACCCATATGTAAGAGAATTCCAAATAAATTTAAAAAATCATAAATATTTATGAATAAGAGAATTATGAAATGATAAGCAATAAATTATTATATAAAAACATATCATTAGTATTATTAACATCCTCAAAATGTTGATTTTGGTTTATTGTCTAAGACTTATATTCCTAATTAAATTTCTAAGATATTTGAAAGTTAAGGCTAATGTAGGTTTCTCTATAAAGGGATTTTGAAATTAATCTATTTCAAATAATAGTGGCTAATTAATTTAATATGGGTTAATTTGAAAGCTTCTACAACTATGTCCAAACTTTTCTATATTTTATTATATCCTCATTTTTGAAACAAATGATTTGGTTTAAAACTTGTTTAGTTGATTTATCTATCCTTCATGATTGTTCAAACGAAGGAGAAGTTGAAGATAAATATCAATTTTTGGTTCTCACTAATATCAAGTCAAATTTAATTTCTATGTCAATTTCAGATGTTGGAAATTAAGAATTCCTTTGATCATACCTCAAATGAGAGAACTATTAGGGGCTATAATCCATGAGTTTTAAGAAGATAATTATATTTGTTTTTTTAATATTTTAAAAGATAAAAGACGCAAGATTAGCAGTAAGATAGAGACAGTAGCCAGCGATAAGTTAAATTTCATTATTTACTTAACACATATTTGCATCTGATTATATGGACTTTATTGTATCACACTAATTATTTAAGTGTAAGTATAGCCACCCTTTCAGTATAGGTAGTTAGGATACCTTTCATTTATCATTTGGAATTGAATCACTTAAGCGATATGTTGTAATAAATTTCAATATTTATATGACTTATTCTCCCTAAAAGGCTGCTTTTTATGAGATGTTTCTATTTGTTAAAGGCATTCTTAAGTTCTTAGTAGAATTCATGATAAAAAAAAAAATCATATAATAAATGTTGATATTTTAAAGCATAGGCTTTGTTTCTGAAAATTTGAAGCCATAGTTTTAAATAATAAGGCTTTTCTGGTTTCCTACTATAATGTGTGGATATTCAACTCATCTTTATAAAGAAAAGAATAAATAGCTGATAGAATTAGTATTGATGCAAATAAATTTGATGAAAAAACTTTATTTGTAATAAAAACAGTAGTTATTATTTTTGAAATTGTAAATTATCTAAGACTATATATGTGATGATGAAATAATTCTCATTCTACTTTTGATTTCTAATTTATATTTATTTTGATAAATGATCCCACGTAAATAAATACTATCCATCACCAATCATTCCTCCATATAAATAACATGTTCCAAATGGAATAGATTACTCAACTTTAAAATCACCATCTTCTGTGACTCTCATGAGATTGACATAATTATAATGCTTATTTACAAGCAATTATTTTGACTGAAAATATTGCATTGGAAACAACCCGCCGAATTCGTTTCCTTCATTCACAACAATATCCTTTGTTTAAGCAAACTATTAATTTATTCTATTCGTTTCGAAGACATGCATCAATTAGCCTAATAAAGGCTAAAATATGAAAAGATAATCATTAATATAGCAAATTCTGTACCCTTCACAGTCAACAGTAATCCTTTGTATTATCATCCACTTTTTACTTTCTTTTGAATGCTCAATCACAAAGATTACTTTATTTGATCCACAAGTAATAACTTTATTTTCTTAAACATTTAAGCTTAGAGAGCGAACACAAGTGTTGTTTTCTTCAATTGTTTATTCTAAAATCCACTAACTTTTCTAAATCCAAAATTTAAGAGTCTAATCGCCACCGCTCGATATCATTAGATCCTAATTCTTATTGAGAACTAAGCTTTGAAGCCACATGATATGACCTCGAATTTTTTATTTGCAATTCCATATGCAAGTATTTAAATTTTGCCAGACAAAAATAAATCCACCATTATCACCAGAGATCAACTCTTTTGATTTTGTAAGGAATTTTAAATACAACACAGAATGAGTATGTTCATTTAATGCTTGGATTTATTGTTTCAACCTTCCTAATTTAAATTCGTATATTAATATTTTTGGATTTTCACATCCAACAAATAAGATTGAAGAATCATCGTTAAATTCAAAGGCATAGCATTATTCTACTTTATTGATAAAATTATCTTAATGTATTTAATAATTGAATGGCTAATGTATTATTTAGGTTTGATTGGTGTTGTTTTTGCAATTTATTTCTGAGCATGGTTATGTTTCGCTTTATATGTCATCAGAACCTAATTCCTATTAAATAAAGATCAATAATTTTATTTTAGAATTACACAAATCTTTCATAAACTAAAGAAGGTTTTAGCAAAAGGTTTATTTTTGAATTAGACAAAATTATTCAAGCTTTGGTAATCTTATCTCCTATTTAGTAAAATCAAACTTATATATAGGGGAATCCATTTCAAACATTCAATCGATAAAATTATTTATCATATCAAAAGATGACTAAAATTAGAGCAATGCTGAGAAATAAATACATCTACGTTCTTCTCGATTTCATGCATACAATCTTCTAGCCTTAAATAGATGAAATTATTTTTTAACATTTATGATCTATTTCTATTAAGTTATTGAATCAAAATTATTAATCAAGTTAAAATAATCGTAAATAAGAAATTAAAAGGCAGAAATAGAAAACTTTATTCAGAACTATTGTTTATAAGCGTAAAATTTTCCAATCCCTAAATACTAAATTCAAAATTTTGATTGAAGCTTTTTATTAGTTGTTTAAATTTGATGAAGAAACAAGTAATTTGCTATTTGAAATATGACAATTATATTAATGAGGATTTGCTGTTATGATTTGTTAGTTAATTATTGAGGAATATCAAATCACAAAAAGATTATAAAGCATTTAATACAAATCTTAGCTTCCTACAAAATTAATTTAATAAAAGAAGATTTATCAAAGAGATAATTAAAATAAAACATAAATGATACTTAATGAGTCATCTCTCCCAATCAATTATAGTAATCAAATTAGTACCATTGATATTATGAATTTTCAAATAACAATATTAATCACAATTATTCTAAAATCTTTATAGTTTAAATGGTAAAAATATTGGTGTTTTTCAAATATTGATCAAATAGATAAACTCCCCGTCATTTTTTTACACATTTTTCAATTTTGACAATTGTCTTCAATATTACTTTATCAATTAATAATTAATAATAAACAAACCAATAGATTTTTCTTTAGCCAAGTCAGTAAGAAAATGAGAAAATTATTAAAAATTTTTAATTGTTAGATAATTAACATCTTATACAAAAACTCACTTATGTAAGAGAATTCCAAATAAATTTAAAAAAATCATAAATATTTATGAATAAGAGAATTATAAAATGATATAAAACTGGTTTTAAGAAGATCAATCAAGTAAATTGTATTATTTCTACAAAGTTTCTAAGGGTTATTTAATAGTTCTAAGTCACAATTACAATTTCTGATAAATATCAGTTTGAGTTGAATGAAATGTTGCGTTTTGTTAACTCAAGAGTAGGATAATAAGATTACAACATCCATAAGCTTCAATCACAATTCATTATTTTTATTAAAAATAGCAAGAGGTGGTTAGAGGCTTCAAAGAGGGTGATCTAAAGGATCATTTTAATGATCGCTACAATGCCGTCCCTTCATAGATCTTGTGAGGATAAATCTACTACTTTAATTACTCAAGCATGATTTCAAATTTCCATTGTTATTTGACTGATGAAAAGAAAAGATAAATTCAAAATTATAGCGCACATATTCCTCGAATATCAACCTAAACATTTTCATCATCAATTGTTCTTACTTCTTGGCTATATTCTCCATCCAATACTCGCTCTATTAGTTCTAAAATTTTTAGGATCTAACTTCACTTGTTTCTCCATTTCGCAAAACTTTTACTTTATAATGTTTGAATATAAGCATTTGTGTTTTTTTATTTTCCTCTTACTTTTCAAATATACCCAAACAAATTGCACTTAATCAGGCATTGACTCTGATTGAGGCATCTTCTCAAAGCTATTCATCCATCTGTTTCAACTTACTTAAAATATTGCTTTATCCATTCCTTAGCTTAGACACTCTATGGCATCTTCCTTTATTCAAGGGTGTCTCGAGCGCATTTTTGAGGTTCAGGAATCTAATACGGAGATTCAGATAGGTTAATAAATCCAAAAAATTGAATTATTAATCATTTGCCTGAAAAAAATTACTATTTATGTAGCTATTATGAGACCAATGATTAATAAATAATAAACTAATGAATAATAAGACAATATTAATGAATTCAAAGGCGAGGCTACATTAAACTTTACTGTTGACAAAAGAAATGAATAATTCTGGTAGAACAAAACCTGTTAGTATTGAATTCAATTTCAGAAATAGAAATCTTTTGAATTTTCACCAATATCTTTAATAAACAAACTATAGGAAATCCAACCAACTTTAAAATATTGTTTTCCTCATTTTTTGTTTAGAACACAATAAGTAAATCTTATAACCAAATCGAAAGCTTTAATTTTAGTTTAGCTTCAGAAAACCTTTTGTGTATTAAGAAAAGCAGACCATAATAATTTTTATATTTGGTACCGATGACTCTTCCAAAACATTAATTAACATCTCTCAGAGATATTATCATAACATTAATTCCCATTTTATTAATTTATTTATTCAGTTCAAAACTATCAAAATTTTGGTAAGGAAATAAAAAAATAATTACTGCTCTAGCTAATTGATCAGAAAGCAAATTCCTTCTAAAAATGACTGATAATAGAAAATTCTTTCTGGAATCCATTTTTCTATGTCTTAAAGAAGTTAATTTGTATGAATCATAAGTTAGTTCAAATTTTCATTCTTTACTTAAACGAATATTCTAATTATGCATCTATTATTAATAAATAACATCTGTCCTTCGAAATTATATGAGAGTATTATTATAGAGTCAAATTTGGCTAATGCATAGTAATTATTTCTTTGATATGTATCATAATGCAAAGCACTTTTCTTGATAAATTTGTATTAATGAATAAATTACATAACCATAAACTAATGTCTAGACAAGTTATGCACTTTTTTTTACTTAATGTTTGCTTCAACTGTAGATGCGAATCGAAGTTTTTGCATACGAAATTGATATTCGTGATTTTTATATATTTTTGCAATAACAATGATGATAATTGTAATAAAGCTATAATTACGAATAATTCTTTTTTTGGTAGACCTGATCCTGCTTGATCTAAATTATTTTTTCATGTTCCCATTGTAAATTATCTTGTCCTACATTTTTCATACTTTTAATAAAAGTTCTGATCATAGTTCATATAAGGCTAGTAACGCATGCACTAAGACCTGAAATTAAATTTCAATTAAGATGAGCTAATTTCACCTTTACAAGCGTAGGAATAAGAATAAGACCTAGCCAAAATTAGGATATATAGAGATATCTAATTGTAGGTCTAATATTCATTTCAGTTAAAATGATTTATATGGAAGCAACAGTTAAAACAGATTGGATTAAGGTTCCAATATAGGAAAATTAAAGGAGACCTTACTCTAAAGTTAATGTAAAATATTACATTTTAGATAATAATATTCAATTATTTATAAAATAGCTTTAATAATTCTTGTTTTCTTCATTTTTAAATTACTTTCAAGTTATCTTTATAAATCAAATATATTAATTCTTCACCAGAATCATAAAATACTTATATCATCATTATTATTTTTGTTAAAGAATAATGATTAAATTTATAGACTCTTAAATCTCTCTTCCTCCAACTCTTCTAAGTAACTAGAGAGCTAATTCTACATTTTATACAGTATTAAGCCAATAAAAGTCCCAAAGTTACATAAATATTAATAGGTTTAATTATAGAGACACAATATATTCTATTTAGCTTTATAGGTGATCGAATAAAGAGGATAATTGATCTCAATCAACATCAAAGATTATCGAATTCATTTTCCAAAAGGGCGATTTACATATTTTTCTTATTTTAAGCTAAAGATCTACCTCATTGTTAAATTAATAAATAATAGTGATGTGTATTAATAGGAATTACAAATATCTAACATTTACTTAGGTTTTTAACAGTTTTTGCAGTCTATTAGAAATTTTATTGAATTCATATCAGATCTAATATAAATAGAAACAAGTCCCTGCTCTAAGAAATAATAATTTTTACTTAATTCCTTTCTAGATTTGTTCCAATTTTTGGCATTAAACCCAAACGTCACAACACCAAATTTGTTTAATTAAAACTTAACAAATTCAGAAGAAAATAATATATATTATAGTATTCGATTACAACATCCACTAATATATTTTTAAGATAATTAAGTAAATCATAATAGAACTCATTTCTAAGCAGGATCTCCTAAATGTAAATTACTGACAACATTATATTTAAGATTAAGATTGATATTGCATATGGACCTGGTATATTTCTATTAATATTCAAATTCATCTAAAATGTTTATATTTCGGAGGAGAGATAAATTGTAATATAATTAAATGAAATCATATTTTAAATAAATTTTATTTAATCTTTTCAAATTAATTTAAAAGATTAATCTTAAGAAGGAACTCCTACCATCCAATCAGGTTTTTTATAGAAATACTATTTTAATTACAAAACACTGGTTTTGAACTCTTCTCTTTTTATCCAATTAAATCCTCCATATTGATATAAAATTGTATAATTATTTAGCAACAATTCCAATAACATCAATTCTCTTCCTATTCTATATCCTAATTATTTTTATCTAATCATAAAGGAGATTATAGCAACTACTGATGCACTTTCTCACACTTGTCACTTCTCTGACTGTAGTCAGTTTAATGAATTTTTTTAACTCAGATTTATATCTTTACATTTAACTACCAGAGATTCATGGGTTAGAACTTGAACAGCTTACCAATCAACTCTATTTCAAATTTATAATCTTCTTTAAGAAATTAGAATATTTTTATTAATTTATGGAATTTAATCTCAAAATAGTATCATTTATTTACATTTTTAAAGGATTCTGATCAAATCATAATGAATAGACTAAATTTTTTGATTAGAATGGATTCGTCTTAAGTAAAACTCCTAGCACATAAATCTTAATCAATATAATAATGTTTCAAAAGAAAAAATTAATGTCTAATCTATGTTCACATATCTATTTTATTCAAAATATATAAATATTTATATAGTTTATATCGCTTAATAAGGTAAAAAAACTGAGTCATGCTATTGCTAATAATAAGCGTTTATAAGATTGATAAGGAAAAATGGAAATTTTTGAATCATTAATATATTATTTCATATGATGAATACTTTCCAGACTTATAATCGTGAAATACTAAATACTATCCATTATTTGTCATTGTCCCATAAATTTCTTAACTTTAACAATTTAAGGTTGANCTCTTCCTCCAACTCTTCTAAGTAACTAGAGAGCTAATTCTACATTTTATACAGTATTAAGCCAATAAAAGTCCCAAAGTTACATAAATATTAATAGGTTTAATTATAGAGACACAATATATTCTTTTTAGCTTTATAGGTGATTGAATAAAGAGGATATTTGATCTCAATCAACATCAAAGATTATTGAATTCATTTTCCAAAAGGGCGATTTACATATATTTCTTATTTTAAGCTAAAGATCTACCTCATTGTTTAATTAATAAATATTAGTGATGTGTATTAATAGTAATTACAAATATCTAACATTTACTTAAGTTTTAACAGTATTTGCAGTCTATTAGAAATTTTATTTAATTCATATCAGATCTAATATAAATAGAAACAAGTCCCTGCTCTAAAAAATAATAATTTTCACTTAATTCCTTTCTAGATTTGTGAGAATTTTTGGCATTAAACCCAAACTTCACAACACCAAATTTGTTTAATTAAAACTTAACAAATTCAGAAGAAAATAATATATATTATAGTATTCGATTACAACACCCACTAATATATTTTTAGGATAATTAAGTAAATCATAATAGAACTGATTTCTAAGCAGGATCTCCTAAATGTAAAATACTGACAACATTATATTTAAGATTAAGATTGATATTGCATAAGGACCTGGTATATTTCTATTAATATTCAAAGTTTAGCTACACATCAATATTTTGATATTCAAATTCATTTAAAATATTTATATTTCGGAGGGGAGATAAATTGTAATATAATTAAATGGAATCATATTTTAAATAAATTTTATTCAATTTTAATTTAAAAAAAGATTAATCTTAAGAAGGAATTCCTACCATCCAATCAGGTTTTATAGAAATACTATTTAATTACAAAACACTGGTTTTGAACTCTTCTCTTTTTATCAAATTAAATCCTCTATATTGATATAAAATTGTATAATTATTTAGCAATAATTCCAATAACATCAATTCTGTTCCTATTCTATATCCTAATTATTTCTATCTAAAGGAGATTTTAGCAACTACTGATGCACTTCCTCACACTTGTCACTTCTATGACTGTAGTCAGCTTAATGAATTTTTTTAACTCAGATTTATATCTTTACATTTAACTATCAGAGATTCATGGGTTAGAACTTGAACAGCTTACCAATTAACTCTCTTTCAAATTTATAATCTTCTTTAAGAAATTAGAATAATTTTATTGATTTATGAAATTAGATCTCAAAATAGTATCATTTATTTACATTTTTAAAGGATTCTGATCATATCATAATGAATAGACTAAATTTTTTTGATTAGAATGGATTCTTCTTAAGTAAAAACTCCTAGCCAATAAATCTTAATCAATATAATAATGTTTCAAAAGAAAAAATTAATGTCTAATCTATGTTTACATATCTATTCTATTCAAATATATAAATATTTATATAGTTTATATCACTTAATAAGGTAAAAACACTGAGTCTTCATGCTGTTGCTAATAATAAGCATTTATAAGATCGATAAGGAAAAATGGAAATTTTTGAATCACTAATATATTATTTCATATATTGAATACTTTCCAGAATTATAATTGTGAAATACTAAATACTATCCATTATTTGTCATTGTCCCATATATTTCTTAACTTTAACAATTTAAGGTTGAAACAATTTAAAATGTGCTATCATTAAATTCTCTTATCAAATAGATATGTTATTTATGTCTAATCAATCTTACATTTCTATCTTTATTATGCATAATTGGAAAATAGCTTTAATCTTAAGATTCATAATTCCTAATAAAATTGATAGTTTTGTTTTAATTATTTGAAAAGTTTCCATTCTATAATTCAAATACTAAAAGTTCATTAATGTATTGGTGCATAGGTACCCAAAATATTTATTAATCATTAATGACATGGATTTTATATCCTGCAGCTGAGACATTTTGAGTATATTTAAAATCCCATTTTTCTTTTAATCCTTTTTCCCAAATTATAAATGTTCCGTATCCACATGATGCCAATAGAGTTTCAGATTAATTAAAACTTAGTGAAAATACAGTGTTGGTATGTTTATCTAAGGAATATAGGAAAACCAACTCATTCTTTATAAAATCTACCAGCCAAACTATTATTTTATAATCACATCCTCGTGATATAAGTTAATCCTCTTATTTATTTAATATTAAACAATTAACAGTTCCATCATGTTATTAGTAAGGTTATGAAAACTTCCACTCCTTTTAATTAATTTATAGCCAACAGATTAGTGTTTGATCTTGTGAGCCAGAAATAAAACTATTTTTCTTTGAGCTATACACCAAGCATGTAATAGCTTTTTAATGAGTTTCATAAGAATTTATAAATTTAATTTTCCTTTCTCAAAATTCCATATTTTGATTTACTTAATACAACAGGAAATCATAATTAATCCAGTGTTATTAAACGCAATAGCATAGCATTATGAACTTTATTTAGTTGAATCATCAATTAATTTAAATTCAACTTATTTATCCATCAATTATTATTCATTATTGTATTAAATTACTTGCTTCTTTGGCTAGCTAAAAACCTTTTAGTTATTTTCAAATAAAATACGATCAGATTCTTTAATTTAAATTTTTAAGATTCTATATTGCCTCCTTTCTCTTAATTAATCATATTCTATTTGGAATATCTTTATATTAAATTTTTTTCTTAAAGTTATATTTCATTCCAATTAATTTTCTATATTAAAGGAGTCACGCTTTCGAAAGTTTGTTACTAGTATTTAAACCCAGAGATAGAAAATAAATCACATTAAGGTAATTCAAAATATAGCCCTGTTGAATGGTTGATGTTTTTGAATGGCATCTGAAGAAGTGAGTCAATTAAGTCATCTATTCTAGCAAAAGCAGACTAAAAGAATATAAATTGAGAAGTACATCTATTTGATACCCTACTACTAATAAACTTTCTTCAATTTTAGACTATGTTTGCTGGATAATTGATAGTGATGATTATTGGATTTCTTACATTTTATAAAAACTTAAATTTTATTTTTAATAATTGGAAAAAATCTTAATTTATTCTTTTACAAGAGTTTAAATAGGATTAATATTAAATACAAAATCGATGTATGATATTTTTGTTGAACTTCTATAAAAGATTACTTGGTTTGACTATTATCAAAATTACTTTGTTGTTTACTAATAACATTATATTAACTGCAATATATAATCTATTTATAACATAAGTTCCATTTTTAGGCTTTCTTCACAGAATAGATAAATTGTCAGAATTGTTTTATGTATCTGAAAATCAGATCCCTTGCTATATTTAAATAAATGCATAATAAGTATATAAGAGAATAGCATGAAAGTAAACTCAAAGTTAGTATTTTTTGTGATAAGTTTCCTAATATCCTGTTATGAGATAGATACTAATAACTTTCGTAGACCAGAATTAGAAGCTAATTATCTTTATAAATATGGAACAGTCAGGGGAGTTAATGAAAATGATGGTCAAGATAAAGTAGATCGAATCTGTTTGCAAGGAAAAAATCCATTTTGATATTTTAATAAGTTTTTAAAATACTCTAGAGTGATTGAGATTATAAAAAGTTAAAAATAAAAATGTTTGAACTTAAAATAATCACTAAGTTTATGAATTCATCATTTTTGAATAACAAGTGGAATATAATTAAATATTAAGTGCGAGAAAGGAAATATTAAGAAATTCTTACTTGTAATGAATAAATGATGCTTTAATTTAGCATAAATTTATTGAATAAAAAAAACAAAGCCCAAGGAACTATTCTCAAATTTTAGTAAGCTTTCCTATAATTGAATTCAACATATAAAATTTGTATTGTTCCTTCTTTTTGAATTTCACAATTAGAATAAAAATCTTGGAAGAATTAATTAGGAAATGTGAAAAATTACTTTAAAGTAATTCCATATTCTGACAATAAATTCTAATGATAATATTACATTCAATTTTATCGAACTATGAGGAATAGCAAATAGAAAAATTATTATTATTATATGTACTTGATTATAATATATAAATATTATGTTATTATATAGAAGTAAAAACAAACATTAACAATTAATAATGTCAGCCTCTAAGAATTATTCTCAAATTATAATTCATCTTGAAGGGTTTCATTTTATAAGAACTTCAATTAGGTTTCTTCAGCTATCATTTATTATTATTTTAAGTTATATGTGATATTTAAGTTGATGAAAATTAACAAGACTACAGTAAGGGATAAACATTAACCAAAAAACAATATTAATAGAATTTTATTGTCTCAATCACAAAATCATGTTATTTGTGACGAGAGAAATTTAAAATACCTTGGAAAGAATATTAATTATTAACTACAAAATAAATTATATATTCCCTATGTCAAATAGCCTTTATCCTAGTTAGATATTTCAATCTATTTGTAAATATAATATAAAATCAATCAATTTTGTATTACAAGTGCCTTCATAGATTAGTTAATAAGCTTTACTGAGAGTGGAAAAATTTAGATCTAAAAGCTATGAAGAAATATTTGATTTAAATAAAATTTCTTTTCGTTTCAACCACCAAATAGATTTTTCATATTATTAAATAATTTGTATTTAAATAGTGAACTGATGTATTTAAAAAAGGAACTAAATAAACTCCGACAGATAATTAATTTTAAAATATTTCTTTCATTCTACCTCACAATTATATGACTGTTTCTATTCAATTTATAAAACCCAAAATTAAAATACTGTAAAATTCTTAAACCATTTTACTTTTGAGCATTGATGAGAATATTTCAATACGTTCCCATCGTTATTATGATCAACTAGCTAAAAGACAAATCTTATTAAAAGAAGGATAAACAAAAGCGAGTTGTATAATATTTCAATATTACCTATTTAAGATTTGCAGAATTAAATTGAAATTAAATTATAAAATAATAAATTAAACAATGAAAGTTATACCATTATTTAAATTATAGATCTTTTAGTTTACTTCTGTTTTATATAATAACAAACAATTATAATAAATATTATTAATAAACTTTGATATAATTTCATTTTTTCATTTTACTCATGTAAATAATGGGCTTTTAAAACTAATGAATTTCTTCTACATCTCTAAATAATTTTTAATAACAATCCTTTACAGATCAAAATTAATTCTATAATTATGCCTTAGGATAGTATAATTGCTTGAACCCATCCCAATATAATTTTATTCTCTTAATTAAAATATTCATTAAATTCCTAAATGTATAAGAATGAACTAAGCATAAAAGTTAATACTGATATCTCCACTACCATCAACACGACATATTACTTTTAACTAAAGGTACAACGATAGTTATAAACGAATATCGTTTATATTAAGCTTGTTAAGAGGAGTAATCCTAATTAAAGTATTTGAGAATTTTAAACATAAATCAAGAATATTAAAAAGAAAAATTATCTACCAAAACTTANTTCAATTTTATCGAACTATGAGGAATAGCAAATAGAAAAATTATTATTATTATATGTACTTGATTATAATATATAAATATTATGTTATTATATAGAAGTAAAAACAAACATTAACAATTAATAATGTCAGCCTCTAAGAATTATTCTCAAATTATAATTCATCTTGAAGGGTTTCATTTTATAAGAACTTCAATTAGGTTTCTTCAGCTATCATTTATTATTATTTTAAGTTATATGTGATATTTAAGTTGATGAAAATTAACAAGACTACAGTAAGGGATAAACATTAACCAAAAAACAATATTAATAGAATTTTATTGTCTCAATCACAAAATCATGTTATTTGTGACGAGAGAAATTTAAAATACCTTGGAAAGAATATTAATTATTAACTACAAAATAAATTATATATTCCCTATGTCAAATAGCCTTTATCCTAGTTAGATATTTCAATCTATTTGTAAATATAATATAAAATCAATCAATTTTGTATTACAAGTGCCTTCATAGATTAGTTAATAAGCTTTACTGAGAGTGGAAAAATTTAGATCTAAAAGCTATGAAGAAATATTTGATTTAAATAAAATTTCTTTTCGTTTCAACCACCAAATAGATTTTTCATATTATTAAATAATTTGTATTTAAATAGTGAACTGATGTATTTAAAAAAGGAACTAAATAAACTCCGACAGATAATTAATTTTAAAATATTTCTTTCATTCTACCTCACAATTATATGACTGTTTCTATTCAATTTATAAAACCCAAAATTAAAATACTGTAAAATTCTTAAACCATTTTACTTTTGAGCATTGATGAGAATATTTCAATACGTTCCCATCGTTATTATGATCAACTAGCTAAAAGACAAATCTTATTAAAAGAAGGATAAACAAAAGCGAGTTGTATAATATTTCAATATTACCTATTTAAGATTTGCAGAATTAAATTGAAATTAAATTATAAAATAATAAATTAAACAATGAAAGTTATACCATTATTTAAATTATAGATCTTTTAGTTTACTTCTGTTTTATATAATAACAAACAATTATAATAAATATTATTAATAAACTTTGATATAATTTCATTTTTTCATTTTACTCATGTAAATAATGGGCTTTTAAAAACTAATGAATTTCTTCTACATCTCTAAATAATTTTTAATAAAAATCCTTTACAGATCAAAATTAATTCAATAATTATGCCTTAGGATAGTATAATTGCTTGAACCCATCCCAATATAATTTTATTCTCTTAATTAAAATATTCATTAAATTCCTAAATGTATAAGAATGAACTAAGCATAAAAGTTAATACTGATATCTCCACTACCATCAACACGACATATTACTTTTAACTAAAGGTACAACGATAGTTATAAACGAATATCGTTTATATTAAGCTTGTTAAGAGGAGTAATCCTAATTAAAGTATTTGAGAATTTTAAACATAAATCAAGAATATTAAAAAGAAAAATTATCTACCAAAACTTATTTTTTAGAATCTTTGATTTTTGGTTGATTGTTAATTGCTATTGAAAAAACTTAGTAATATATTAAAATAAAGGAGAAGTATTATGTTTACTATAACGAGTTGTACAATATCTAAGTAACTTTTGGTTTAGACGTTTTGCGTATATAATAGTGTTTTAAATATCATATCCCATCCATTGAGGACTAAAGCTTTTTACAATCCTTCAAAAGACATAAATTTCTCCAATTTAAGTAAGTCTAAGCAAATTTTATAAAAATATTAACTAATCTTCAAAATAACTTTTTGATTTATATATAATGATAATGATGACATATAGTAAAAGTACCTAGAACAAAAAATCGAACTATACAACACCCTTTTAACCCATCTAAACAAAAAAATTAGCAATAACAATATTAAGCTTTAAAAGATTTGGCATTAAATGTTGATGATCAAGCTTGAGTTTTATTTGTAAACATTAAATTTCCCAACAGAATAATCCTAATCTGACTCAATATTTATAAACTGTAACAATTGTGGAAAATGCATAAAATCTAATAGAGGTTGAACAGTTAATAAGTCATTTATGGAAAAATAAATATCTAGATTTTCAGGAAATTATAAATTGATATATCTTAAGTATTGCTAAAATTATAGGATTGCCAAAATCTCTACAAATAAATCCCCACTTCCTAATAAAAGACTGATAATAATAATTCCTGATAAACTATAAATCAAATATTTGTTAAGACGTTTCAAGCTTTAAGAATAATCCTTCTGTGTTTCGTCAAGATAATTTGGATATTACAATGTTATTTATTTTTCAAATACATCCAAAATAGCATTATCTATATTAGCAACCTTCTGACTTACTAAAATTTTCAAGAGTGGTCTAAATTTTAGTAATTATTAAACTTCTATCTCTAAAATATATTCTCCAAAACTTAAATATGATCCAAAATCCTAAACTATATATAAGCTGCTATTCCAGTTCTTCTTATTTATATCTTATAATTCAAAAATTAAAGTTTTTGATAGGGGTTAAATTGTGAATATTTTTACTTACTAGTTAAATTAGATGCTTATATATTATTTATTTTAAGTCATATTGAGGTAATTAATAACTAAGCTTGGAGCTTTGACAAATGTGCATTAGCTAGGAGAATCTTTAGTAATTGTGATGCAAACCCAATTTTATTCAATTAAACAATCCTTGCATCCATCAGCTGCATAATAATTACCATCATCGCAATCCTCTTCTTCCTAAACCAATCCATCTCCACAATTTAATTATTATTTGCATTAATTTGAAATTAGTAATTAGTATTAATCATTGCACTCTAAACAAGTACCTTGATAACAATCGAAACAATTTTCTGGACAAGAATACTTACACTAAAAACAACCATCAAATTTTATT